TAGGGGGGGCAATGGCCGGGGATTGGGGAGCGGATTGCCCCATTCTGGGGGTCCCCACCAGCTGGGGATTGGGGAGGGGATGTCCCATTCTGGGGGTCCCCACCAGCTGGGGATTGGGGAGGGGATGCCCCATTCTGGGGGTCCCCACCAACCGGGGGTTGGGGAAGGCCCTTGGCAATGAGGTGCAGGGGGTGTGTGTGAAGGGGCCTCGGCAAAGAGGTGCCCTGGGGAGGGGTGTCCCCAGTGGGGGGGGTGTGGTGTGAGGAGGTACACAGCTGTGGGGTGCAGCCAGCTGATAGGGGAGATGACATCCTTGGTGCACGTGTCCCCATCAGGGATTTTGGGGACGTCTTGGGCTGTGGGGTACAGGGGGAGTCAGGCTGTGGGGAGGGGGTGCCTGAGATTTGGGTGCCCCCTTTGGGGGGACATCCAGTGCCCTGGGTGTGGGTATCCCCACTGAGGGAAGGGGGGGAGGCTGGGGAGGTGCCTGGGGATTTGGGATGCAGGGGAGCAACTGTGGAGCTGGGCTCCAAGAATCAGGATGCCCTGGGAATCCAGATGTCCCTGGTACCCAGGATGTCCCCCCAGCAGTGGAGGGTGCAAGTGGGGAGCCATTCCACAGGGATCTGGTGCCCCTGCACAACACATGGCTGGGGCAGGCGAGCAGGGGGGCTGAGGGCAGGGGATGCTGGGGGGGACTGGAGGCAGTGAGCATGTCACCACTGTGGGTTTTAAGGCTCCAACCCCTCTGCTGTGGGGCACAGGCCTGTGGGGTGGTGGGGTAGAAGGGTGGGGGGCTGCGAGGGGAGCAGAGGGGCCGGGGGACAACCCGTGGAGCACAGGAGAGCACTCTGGCACAAGGGCTGGCTATGGGGCAGGGACCCCTGCACAACCCCCCAGAACACCATGAGGCTGGGATAACCCAGGCAGAGTGGGACTGCTGGTCCTCCCCGGGGATTTGGGGAAGGACCCAAGGGGATGCCAGCCCCGGCTGCCATGGGGGGGCTACCCCAGCCCGGGGGACACACGGAGGCGCTCTGCATTTGTGGGAGGGGGGGCCTCGGTGGGGCAGGGGGATCTCAGCGGGGGCAGCGTGCCTGCGGTGCATTCCTCACATTCCCAGCCTGCTGCCTGCTCCCATCGGGCGGGAGAGGGTTGGGGGGGGGGGGGGGGGGCGGTGGGGGCACCGTGTCC